TTGCGTGGTCTTGTCAGTGTGAAAAGGATATGAAATTTGATAGACCTTCTCCACTCAAAGGAGTAAGCAAACTGGTATTTTTTTCTTTCCATTCCATTCCCTTTCCATTTTTTCAGTGCTTCTAATCTTCCATTAGAAACATGTTTTTAGCAGGTACCTGTATGAAAAAGGCTGCCGTAAAACAGGAGCTCTAGCTGCTAATCAGCAGAGGGGGACATTCAGGACAAGTTCAGCTGTTTCGTTACTGTTCATAGAGTTTTGCTGAAAATAAACCAACCTTTGCAGATTTAATTTGATATGTGCTTCTCAGATTAACTTTTTGTCCCAGTAAAATGTGGTACCCCTGTTTGCTTAGTTTTAGGAGGATGCACTGATGAATCGCAGAGGATAAAGTGGAGGAAATGCGACTTTTCCTAAATAGTGCTGTGGATGTGAGCAGACTGATAATGAAGGAGGGAAGTGTTAGCCTCTGCTTATCTCATAGAGGCATCTGCTCACAATTCAGTGCTTGTAGTCAGACTGCCAGCTGGGGGGATGTTTTCATGATGTAAATTATCCATCCGTTCTGAAGAGTCTGAGTACAAGGAGACCTTTTGTCTGTGTGGATGAATTCCAAACTTGGGGAGAAAGTGAAGAGTTTCTCTTAAAGATCTAAATAGCTTCTACTTAGGTTTTTCCATTCTATACGTATGCATTGCTGTTGCGTTTCCCAGCAGGTCTCTGGATATGGCAGTGGTGCCCATCCTGCTGGGGCGGGGGCTTTCCTTGCTCATGATGTGCACCAGTTTACCTGGCAGTGGTGATGCACTGAGGTGAATGGCTTGTCGACACTGACATGTACCTGGGGGAAGTGCCCACTCTCTAGGCTATAGTTAAATATTTCTATTACATGGCCTCTTTTTCAAGTGTCTAAACTCCTTCATTTTCTGAGTTCACATAAGTCCCTTCCTGTTCTATTTACGGTGATTTAAAGTTTCCAGACTGTGTTTTGGGGCATTCTTTTGCTCTCTTCTCAGGACCTATTTTATTTAATGTTCCTATCTACTAGCTGGAGCCATCTTTCAATTTTTAAATATTTCTTTGTGAAATTAATGCTGATGCTTTTATTCACCTCTTTTCTTGCCTTATTTATGTGCCTCAACATAGGAAATGTTGTTTCGGAAAGAGTTTTAAAATCAGTCATTTATTTGATAACTCCTTTGATTTTGTATATTGTAATTATGGCTTATCAGAAGGGGCTGGTTATTCTGTCATTGTGTTACCTCCTGATGAGCAGCTTCATATTTTGGAAAGGATGCACTTTTTAAAAGTGAGACTCATGTTTTTGTGCTCTGGATGCATTGAGAAGGCTTCAGCTTGTGCTCCGCAAGTGCTGTGTGCATGATCACTGATCACTTCATGTGTTCTCTCCCCTAATGGGCTTCTGTAACATTCTTGCTGAAAAATAGAGCTGCTGCTTCTGAATAGAAAGCAGGCAGTGTAGCTGGTACTTAACACTGCTGAGTGCTTTTAGGCCAGGCTAAGATGGAAATGATTATCAATGAATAGGACCAGAAGAACAAAGACTTATTTTCTGATCATCTAAATCAAACACTTAAAATTGCATTTCAGCTTGTATTTGCTGTTGCCCTCTCTCTCCGTAATGGTGTATCACAGACCTCCTGAGCCCTGCCAGGCTTGGAAGTAATGCAGGCTTTTCTTTATCAGAAAACCTGTGTGACCTTGAAGAGCCCAATTAGCTACCAAGCTGCTAAGCACAGCTTTTACATTCAGTATAAACAGGGAGAAAATGTGCTTCAACACTGTCAGCTGGTCTTGGGTAAACTCTCTTGTTTCAGCTCTATTTACCCCAGCAAGCTGATGCAGGGTTTGAGCACAGTCTCGCTGTGTTCCCCAGCTGCGCTCCTGCTTGACTTTACTGCCCTGCCTGCTGAAAGTAAGGGGCTTCTCACCTGGCCAGCTCACTCAGAAGGGCTTTGAATGCATTTTTCTTGCTTGATGGTATAAAAGCAAAGATGAGAGGGGAATTTCTTTTGTCTTCAGTACAATAGCTTTTTCTGGAAAATAATTAATGCTGCCCAGAGTGCAAATATGCATGTTTTGTAAGTTAATTTAGCTGGCTTTCTGCAGGGAACCTCAGGACACCTTTAGGGAACAGATAGAATAATCTAATTTTCTCTAGTGGAGGGAGAAAAATAGTAGGTTGTTTGCAAGCTAATTCTTTTTTGGAGGCTCCAGGCTGTCAACTGGTCTCACTGCTTGAGCACTGCACATATGTAGAACATAGGCACAAAGGCACCTTCCTTCTCTGAATTTTCCCAAAACGCTTCCTCCCCAAAATCTTCTTGAAGCCTAATGTGACACGGGGCTTTTTCCACCATGGGAGAGGAAGGCAATAGTGGAAGAGCCTCCCGAGTCAAAGTACGAGCTACTAGTGACAGTTTGGCTTACGCAGTTAATTTAATGGGATGGTCTTCGTTTTGTTGGCTGTGGCTTTTTTTTTTTTTTCCCACTTATGACTCATGGGGTGGCTGCTCCTGTCTGCTGCTCTTTACTGTTTTCATTTGTTATGAAAATGTCCAGAGAAATCCCACCAGGCCAGTGTCTTGTTTACTGCAGTGTGAGCTCTGAAAAACCTTTTCCATGGAGCTGATGCTTACCCTTTTGTTAGCTGTGTGAAACAGTGCTAATGTATTTCGGTTTTAATTGTCACTCGCCCAAGGGGCCACAGCAAAGTTCACGGGTAAGTTGGCAAGCTGCAGGTTGACACTGTTACCTTAAAGGCTTCCTACAGAAGAGCAAGGGAGTGTTTGCATCTGTGGTTCCTCTGCCTCTTCTTGAGAAGAATGGGGAGAAACCTTGGCTTCGTTTCCTTGTGTTGGGAGAAACTGCTTGTGCATGTCTGGCCTATGGGCTTGTAGCTGCTGGGCATGCCCCGAATTTCTGGCTTTCCCTTCAGTGAGGGCAGCTCTTGGAAAGAGACCATGTAGCAGGAGAATAGGAAACCTGGGAGAGGCCGATTTTATACATCTAATGCATGCTTCCCTAGAGACTCAGAAGAGAGACCTTTCATTTGTGCTTTGTTACATGCTTTGAGATGGGGAGCCATTACTGCAGTTTTTATTTTTGGAAGAGACTAGCTGATGTTTGTGGCTATGACTAATCCTTTTAGCAGTGTTAGATAGAGGCCTTGCAGTAGTGGTTTTTTTTTGTTTTGTTTTTTTTTTCTCTCTGTTAAATACAACACCATTGTAGTGGGAACAGGATTAATTATCTGTACTTGTATTTAGCAGCAAGAAGGGAATGAGTCAAGCTGCACTAAAATCTTCAGTGTTAATACTTGGGAGTTTCTAGTCTTTTTGGGATCAGGGTGACATTAGTATCAGGATTGATTTCAGTTGTTGCCTTCTGTTTGCAAGATGGCATTACTCACTTGACCACAGACCAGCAGTGAGCTAGTATTGAGCAAGAGCCTCAGATTGGGAGTATCTGGCTTCCAGTTTTGCTCCCGCATTGCCTGTAACCTCATGTCTTCTCTAAACAGTAACGGCCCTTTTATGGGAATTATTGGGGGATCTGTATCTGTAAAATGTCACAACTGTCTTGTATGCCTCACACAAGAATTTTTTATTATTTTTATTTTTTTTGTAGAATAGACTATTCGTGGTTTTCTTGGGCTCCAAACACAGTTTGTTTTTCCCTTGGTATATGCAAGTGTAAACTTTTCAGGGGTCCATGTCTAGGCTTTTTCTGACATGTTGAATCCTGGTCCTGTTACTGTGCTGCTCTCCTGCTCGTGTTCTCAGCAGGAGGTTAGTCTCCCAGGAGCTGGGTGTTGCATGGGGACACGTGGACCAGCCTTGGTGTCACTGCTGGAGCAAAAGGGAGAAACAGGCTCCTGACCTGCCCTCAAGCACTTGGGGTCTTGGCCTTGCTGTTGTGCATGTGCTGCCCTCACCCAGCTTGGAGTCTGCATTGAGCTTCAGCTTGTGCCCTTGACTGAGCTACCACCCTGTTAATGTTGTCCATTTGTGTTTGCTGCTGCTTACAGGCAGGGAAAGGCAGTCTTTTGCCCTCCACCCTTCTTCTCCAGATTTGGTTCACATCTGTACCCTGGCAGTTGGCTTCCCTGGGCCACTTGCTTAGGCTGCTGGTGCATTCAGCTTTGTAAAGCCCATTGTGGGGAGCCTTTACCTGTCAGGGCTGGCTCTCCTAGTGAGGTGCATGAGAGCCAAGATGAGCTGCCCTGCAGCCTCTGGCCCTGGCAAGTAGGTGCTGAGCAGGGAGCCCCTGCTGCTGCCAGCTGAGCAGCCCCCAGGAAGTGAGGACCTGGAAGGGGGGCACGTGCACCAAGTAGCGCTTCTCCAGAGGAGGAAGGAAGGTTCATCAAGTCACCCAGTAGCCTCAGTTCTTAACCTCCTTTACACACAGCGAAACCGCTTTAATCTGTGCCTTGCTATCCCTCCGTCTCTCTCTCTCTCTCTCTTTTTTTTTTTTTTTAAGAGACTTAAATACAAGTTGGATTTTCATGCAGTCAGATTTTTTTGGCTCTGTGCTTTGAGAGACGTGCTGTTCTTGTTAGCTTATGCTGCCTAGTTTGCTTCATTTTGTGGAA